TTAAGTAGTTTAATTAAACCAGCAAATGTTGAAGCAAGGGTAGAAAAATGGAAAAAATATTACCTGTTAATACATTTTTGGTCACATCCACCATTGTCAACAGCACACTCATTAATATCAGCACACTCAAGGCGAGTGCATCCCATAACTTCAATGCGGAGACAGGGAGCATTGACATAATCTTGAATACGGAAACGTAAGTACTGAGCTTCCATGGGCACAGGGAGGTTGAGGACAGATAGGGTGGGCTCAAGGATACGGAATTCAACAAGAGTATCATCAGGGTTTGTGTAGTCCTTGAAGACATCAGTGAGATCATCTGAGAACTGCAAGAACAACAGGAGATGTATAATGATTGAAACTTTGAAAGAAGAGAGCACAAAATATTAGATCAGACAATATTTTTTACCTGAATTCGTACAGCTGAAGTGAAGGCAACATTCCCATCAAGGCGGGAGACACTCTGTGTTCTAAAACCACAAACAACTGTTGGTGCCTTCAAATCAAGAAGAACCCAGTTTGCTCCAGATTCCGCATTGACTCCACACCAGCCACCAAGACTGTTCAGACGAACCATCTAAAACCAAAAATTGTATTTAGAAAAGTTTATTAAACTACTGTATTTGTAAAGCTATAATAGTTGTGATTGCCTTACCTCTTTGGGATAGCCAGGTTCAGTGCCAGATACAGAGATAGAATCATCAGGGATACCTCCAGTAGTAAGGCCAAGGTCCCCAACAGGTCGGCACTCTAAACTCACAAAGCCCTTGCGGCACTTGCAGTGGAAGCCGCCAGGTGTATTAACACACTCGGTACATGCTACGTCACACTGACTGCTACTGCATTCATTAATGTCTGAAAAATCACAAAGAGATTTATAGAATACAGAGCAAACAGAATTTTATGACTGTAAGAAAATTACAAATATTAATGTGAATGTACCATCGCATCTTGGAGGATTGAGGAAGTCTTGGTTTGGACCACAGCGGATAATATTGTTGCCAGATAGTTTGTAGCCCTTGAAACATTGAACCCTGGCTTCATCACCATACAGATATTCATTTGTGGTATCAACAATGAAACCATTTTTAATGGTAGGGAAAGTTGGACAACAAGCACCTACAGCAGGAATTAAAAATTAAAAATTGCCCATAAAACATACAAAAAGCTTCAACTGTCCATAAACAGAATAACACCTACGTCGGCAAGCAGGTGGAGCACTGGACCAGGTGCCATTGCTCATGCACAAAATTACTGGGGCTCCCGTACGAATGAATCCAGGCTCACATTCAAACCTGTCAATGGTACCGTAACTGCGACCTCCGCCATTCAAGATAGTGGCATTTGCATGTGGAGTGTCAGGAAGAGGTGGGCACTGAGAAGCTGTAAGTTAAATGAATACATTTAAAACAGTTTTGCCATTATTTTATTTGAATGGTTTAAATTTTTAGTAAAGAGTAGATGAAACTTGAAGGAATAAATTTTGCTTCTCATACCAAGACAAGTTGGAAGACGCTCCCAGCGTCCATCGGCAAGACAAGAAACTCTCTCCAGGGGCAACCCAGATGGGAACGCAAAACCTGCATAGCACTGGTACATGGCTTGGCCTCTGAAGGTGACATTGGTAGAGCCAATGGAGAAACCATTGTCAATTTGAGGGACAGGACCACAGTACACCTCTG